CTGGTGGCAGTGCGAGACACGAGATTCTCCACCATATCGTGGTCAGTGGGCTCTTTCTCAGATAAGGCGCTCTCTGGCTGGAGGAAAGTTCACAGCGTGACATGTATTTATCCCTCGGGATGACGTTCAACAGATCACGTGCCATAACATACTGCGGTAGAAAGCCGATTCCCCAATAACATGTGCGTTATTTGAACGAGGACAAATTTTCTGACCGGATAAAACGTGACGTCATCCAAACCATCTCCGGTTTGATAGAATGATGGTGATTAGTATCGTTTCTTTAACTTATACACCAAAAGATGTCCTGATTTTAGAGGCTTTATAAACTGATAACAGGGGATTTGCTACAGAAATGTTCAAAACAAGTCATCTAGCAATTTTGTGACCGAAAAGCGTTACCAAGTAGAACATGCGTTACTACGATCCCGTTAGAAAGCACTTCAGGATTCACGTAACTAAATCAATCACTATATGTTATTTCTTAATTAATCTAATAACAATAGTATTTTAAGTAACAACTGTCATTATTCATAGAAACATACCTGTCAAAGGCTACAAATGGCATAATTTTGCAGGATAAACGTCATCTCGGACAATCATCGCCTTTAGAAGGGAACTGCAACCGGAAGTATACAAGTGAAACTAACTTCCCACTTTGAAAAAAACCCAGACATTTTACACCAGTCTTGATCCGCTCACATACATTGAAATTTGTTAAAACTATATATTTTCTCGGCGCAAAAAAATGCAGATTTCTTTCATATATCGTAAAATATAGATTTAAACAGAGGACAGTCTTTTATCTAACCTCAATTTAGGTAGGAACTCTTACTAGACGAAACAGAATACCAGTTGCTCATTGAATGCGCGATTCTTTCAGCTGTTCCCAAACCCCTTCTAGTGGAAACCGTTTGTCGCCTAGTCAGGCTAGCCAAGAACATGAGTGGCGGACGTCCTTCTGTGACGTACGGGTACGTGGTGACTACGGACGGATGGGGGTCAACGTCCTTGACTAGAGGTCATTGAACGACCTTTAACTGTTCTGTCCAAATATCTCCAACACTATCGAGTATCAATCACACAGATCAGCAGACTTCAATGACAACATGACCGTTTTGGAATATTCGCTTTAACAACAGAAGTATTGACATACACCAGGTGGATGTAAAGTCTTTAAATAAACAGGGTCCTTGCCTCCTGACCGAATTAAATGCCCTTTTTGTCACCATTGACTTGAGAATTTGACGTTGTGAACAGATCAGGTGTTGATCAAAACTAAACCGCTGACACTCTCTGTTGTTGTTCTTGGTAAATATTACCGAATAACTGAGACCTGATGCCAAAGGGTAGCTTTGGAGTCAACAACGACATGGGGAATCCCCTCCAAGTGACTGCACACAAGTCATTAACTGTTATCTATAGTGAAATTAACTGTGTCTGTGTAGGTATTATGGTGTAAAACGCAATCGACAATGTGTCATTTACTTCATTTTCTTAATAACGTATGAATACGTTTTTGTTTTAATTTTCAAACTCTGATTTACACATCACTTTAGTAGCATTGATGCACGTGAGAAATCTATTGTCACACAGTTAGTCAGCTTTGCTGAAGAGTGTGTATAAGGTATCATCGCAGGTTGGTCCTTCTGAAGTTATGTACGAAAACTTGTTTATCATATCAATACGTCATCAATCGCACGTGCTAAGATAATGGATTTACCAAGCAAAAGGTCCACCTGTAAATAGGCGAGTGAAATGCACCAAATAGCACGGTGTCTGTACACGCGAGTATACTGTCTCCCAGGAATATACAAGTACAACCGGTATTGTAATTATCAGTTCTCGTTCAACACTGCCTCCCATGCGAAAATGAGGGGAGCTTATCTGACGTTACTGAGGAGAGAGTGATGTCAAAGGTCATGTTTAATGTCATTTACTGAAGTCATTTCGGACCTGTCTCTGGTGCATACCGATACAGCATGAATACAGCACGATGGGTTTCAAATGCAATGGCGCATCCACCTGGTAGGAGATACCTTCTTTACGACGTCTAAAACTTTGCCAAACATTTCCCTTAGAAGATGATTTTGGTTACACCCCGTGCCAGTTACATACAACGTAACGATATAGTAAAACTCAAAGGTAAACCAAGTTCCAATTCGTTCACACCTTCAAGCTCGTTGCCAAGGGTTGTAGGTCAGGGCGCGCAGTTGCGTCACGAATAGTACGTCGTTGTTAAGTACCCGTGTCCTGACCAAGGTAGGAAAGTCAGCATTGATGGATGGAGTCTGGGAAATCGTTTTGATTCTTTTTTGTAGACAGAAAAAAAAGCTCAGTGTGAACACTGCGTAAATTTGTTTGTATACATCTGTTTGTGGTTACAAACAGGTTGCAGCTACTGTTTTGGTAACTGGAACAATTACCAAATCTTATATCCTTATAAATATCCAGATAACTAGAGAGGTCCCGAATCTTTTAAGCGGGCAACTATTTAAAGATTATCATTGGTGAGGGACCATTTATTTTTCTCATTGTAAGAGATAACTTCTGGTGAAAGGCAACCTGAAGAGATCGTCTGATTTCTCTAGTGAAAGCCACCTTTGTTAAGATACCACCTTTTTTTGGGAGGTCATAATGCCTAATAAGTGTCACCTCTAAGTAAAGACTATAGTGCCTCTTGAGTGTCACCTCTTATGAGAAACTATAACGAATGTTAAGTGTCATCTCTTGTGAGAGACTACAATGTCTGTAAAGTGTCACGTCTTGTGAGAGACTATAGTGTCTGTAAAGTGTCACCTCTTTTGAGATAGTACAATGTATATAAAGTGTCACCTCTTGTAAGTCAATAACGTCTGTAAAGTGTCACCTCTTGTGAGAGACTACAAGGTCTGTAAAGTGTCACTTCTTGTGAGTGACTACAATGTCTGTAAAGTGTCACCTCTTGTGAGAGACTACAAGGTCTGTAAAGTGTCACCTCTTGTGAGAGACTACAAGGTCTGTAAAGTGTCACTTCTTGTGAGTGACTACAATGTCTGTAAAGTGTCACCTCTTGTGAGAGACTACAATGTATGTAAAGTGTCACTTCTTGTGAGTGACTACAATGTCTGTAAAGTGTCACGTCTTGTGAGAGACTACAATGTATGTAAAGTGTCACTTCTTGTGAGAGACTACAATGTATGTAAAGTGTCACCTCTTGTGAGAGACTACAAGGTCTGTAAAGTGTCACCTCTTGTGAGAGACTACAATGTATGTAAAGTGTCGCCTCTTGTGAGGGACTATAATGTCTGTAAAGTGTCACCTCTTGTGAGAGACTTCAATGTATGTAAAGTGTTACCTCTTGTGAGAGACTACAAGGTCTGTAAAGTGTCACCTCTTGTGAGAGACTACAATGTATGTAAAGTGTCGCCTCTTGTGAGGGACTATAATGTCTGTAAAGTGTCACCTCTTGTGAGAGACTTCAATGTATGTAAAGTGTTACCTCTTGTGAGAGACTACAATGTCTGTAAAGTGTTACCTCTTGTGAGTGACTTCAATGTCTGTAAAGTGTCACCTCTTGTGAGAGACTACAATGTCTGTAAAGTGTTACCTCTTGTTAGAGTCAGTATTGTCTGTAAAGTGTCACCTCTTGTGAGAGACCACAATGTCTGTAAAGTGTCACCTCTTGTGAGAGACTACAATGTCTGTAAAGTGTCACCTCTTGTGAGAGACTACAATGTATGTAAAGTGTCACCTCTTGTTAGAGACTACAAGTGTCACGTCTTGTGAGAGTCAATAACGGCTGTAAAGTGTCACCTCTTGTGAGAGACTACAATGTCTGTAAAGTGTCATTTCTTGTGAGAGACTACAAGTGTCACGTCTTGTGAGAGTCAATAACATTTGTAAAGTGTCACCTTTTGTGAGTGACTACAATGTATGTAAAGTGTCACCTCTTTTGAGATAGTACAATGTATATAAAGTGTCACCTCTTGTGAGGGACTATAACGTCTGTAAAGTGTCACTTCTTGTGAGAGAGTGCAATGTATGTAAAGTGTCAAGTCGTGTGAGAGTCAATAACGTCTATAAAGTGTCATCTTCTGTGAGAGACTACAATGTATGTAAAGTGTTACCTCTTCTGAGAGACTACAATGTCTGTAAAGTGTCACTTCTTGTGAGGGACTATAACGTCTGTAAAGTGTCACCTTTTGTGAGTGACTACAAAGTCTGTAAAGTGTCACCTCTTGTGAGAGACTACAACGTCTGTAAAGTGTCACCTCTTGTGAGAGACTACAATGTATGTAAAGTGTCACTTCTTGTGAGAGACTACAACGTCTGTAAAGTTTCACCTCTTGTGAGTCAATAACGTCTGTAAAGTGTCACTTCTTGTGAGAGACTACAAGTGTCACGTCTTGTGAGAGTCAATAACATTTGTAAAGTGTCACCTTTTGTGAGAGTCTGTAATGTCTGTAAAGTGTCACGTCTTGTGAGAGTCAACAACGTCTGTAAAGTGTCACCTTTTGTGAGAGACTACAATGTATGTAAAGTGTCACCTCTTGTGAGATACTACAATGTCTGTAAAGTGTCACCTCTTGTGAGAGACTATGTCTGGTGAGAAACCACTCTGATCTCAGAAGAGGCCACAGCTAAGCCAAGAAATTGCCTGGTGAGATATCACATTTGATAGATCCTCTTGTGGTAGACCACTTCTTTTCAAGGATCACATCTCTTATTTGCCCACCTATGTTAAGTGAGCACCTGTGATGAGATACATTAGTTAAGAGACTATGTCTGTTAATAGGCTGGTGAGAAACCATATTAAGAGACAATTGACTTTCCTGGTCTCTTAATCAGGTGTGAATGCCATCTTTATTTTAAATGAAATGTTATCAGTATAATGGGGCAATAAGCATCTGAACAGAGTGTGGGTGTGATACTGCATGACCCTTGGTAGTTAGTGTTCCGTAATAACAGTTTTGTCCCACAATATCAACACAGCTTCATAAACAATCTATAACACAGAATTATGTTGTTTTTATCTTTATTAAAAACCTTATTGTATTTTTTTCAATATTTCTTCATTTATCAATAAAAAAGTAAAACATTGACATGACTTGGAAATCCTCCGGCCATATGTGAACATGGCAGCCGTTCATGTAATCAACGACCTCGAAAAAAAGATAAACATCGCACTATGTACAAGGAAAGCATGTCATAATCCTTTCCCTATAACAAATGTTGCATGTTAATATCCGCAACATGACCAAATCACAAACAGTAAAGTATCTGTTTATAGTCGAGAAATAGATTCCAACCATCAATGACTTGGAAACTATACTCATAAAAAAGCCAGGACTGGTAGTTTCCATGGCACCTAAACAAGCTATTTTAATAAATTATACATAACTTACTACAGAAAAAAAAGTCTTTTTGAACAGGTACTTTTATCTTAAAAATTAAATATCGTGATATTTTCTAACTATCAACTTATATCACTCATTAAATACTTACTTTCAAAAACTGTTAATGCTAAAATCCAAATCTATCACATACCTCGCCTGGCGGGTCCCAGGTAACAATTGATACATACCTTAGTCTTAATAATCAACATGCATATTATTATTATTATATATATATATATAATGATATATCATTCATGCATATTCATGTTTGAAATTTACACATCAAAATTTGCTCACCAATCAATAATAGAATTATAAATAGCCTGAAAGTGATTGACAGCTCACATAGCTGTCATTTCTAGTGAGAGGGGCTCTCACTTGTTCAGTTAAAATCCACTGAATCAGTTTCCTATATTATATAAAATTTTAACATAAAATTTCTGACTCTAAAAAATATGTTACGGAATAATGAACAACATTGTTACGATATCTAAGTTTACTGTTGAGAACCAAACTTGTCTAACCTAACATCAACATTAACGGTACCATGTACATATTACGCTCACGGACATGTATTTTGAGTCAAAAAGGTGTCTTACCCAAAAAAATGAAATATTGCTGCAATCAAATAAATTTCCTATAAAAAATTAAACACATAAAAATAAAACCTCTGTTGAATAGGGAATGTGTGATATATATAGGAATAAAGTTTCTCTTTGGAGTAAATCAGCCTGATTATTCCATCCCTAAACACCGCAATGGGCATTCACAGGGGCGAAATGATAAAGGCTTCAAATTCTCCATTTAGTACAGCCGGTCAGGTGTTCAATCCGTGAGTTTGTCACAATCAGGTGTAAAATACATGTGTATGCGCATGTACAAATACGGACCGTAAATATGAACACATATGTACAGCAATATAATGGCAGAGTGTATGACAACACTATTAAACAAAAGTTCTGGTAAGTCAGGACAGGAAAGTCAGTAACTGACAGTTTCTCATGATAGGTAAGTCAGTAGCATACAGACTTCCCAGAGACAGGAAGGTCAGTAGCTAACAGATGTCCCAGAAACAGGAAGGTCAGAAGCTAACAGATGTCCCAGAGACAGGAAGGTCAGTAGCATACAGATGTCCCAGAAACAGGAAGGTCAGAAGTTAACAGACGTCCCAGAGACAAGAATGTCAGAAGCTAACAGATGTCCCTGAGACAGGAAGGTCAGAAGCTAACAGATGTCCCAGAGACAGGAAGGTCAGTAGCATACAGACTTCCCAGAGACAGGAAGGTCAGAAGCTAACAGATGTCCCAGAGACAGGAAGGTCAGAAGCTAACAGATGTCCCAGAGACAGGAAGGTCAGAAGCTAACAGATGTCCCAGAGACAGGAAGGTCGTTAGCCAACAAACTTCCCAAAGAGAGATACATGTAAGTCAGTAGTCAACGGACTCCCCCAGCAACAACAGACTTTCACAAGGAAAACAGCAGATAACTTGTTATATAATATCACTTGATGCATAGAAAAGAGTGAAGGAGAAATTTAACAGTAAAACTATTTCACCTTCATAAACTGAAGAGTTCCAATTCTATACATATGCTATGTGACCTTTTGCTGAGCCTGTGAGCTTGGTAAGTCATCTGAATAAGACTTGGTGAGCTATTTTGACGTGAATTTTATATCATGTGACACTTGAGGACATGTCAACTCCTCCAGATTAATAAATAGGAGAAAGACTTGACATGTTGTGACCTTAGTGCATTAAAATTAGAACAATCACAAAGCATAATTTCTGTGCTAGTGATAGTGCCTTAATGTGAAGGCTACAGGAACACTAAACTGGACTTTCAAAAAATCATCTATATCATTGGAACACATGACTATTAGAACAGTTTTCAAATCATATTTAAATGCTAAAATGTTAACAAGACATATTCCTGTTGACTTATTGCACAAATACATAGTCCATTAAAAACTTGATTGAAGTGATCGGATGCTTCCATCATCCTGCTGGTTGGGATTTAACTGATAGCAAATGATATCTGTCATCTAAATATTTCCTTAAAATGTTGACATTGACCAGAAATCTAAACAATGTTTTTATAATTATATACCAGTAGTTTTATAAGAAACAGATCTATAGTACAAAGTTGAACATTTCTTAGAATTTAATGCAGTATTTTTGAAGTAGATAGGATGACTCGAAAGCTTCCTGATCTTGTGTAGAGAGGAACAGTTGTATTGTAGAGGAACACACAAACTACAGAACAAATACCAGTAAATATATCAAATGAGATCACTTGTTTTTTTGCCAATTTTTGCTAAAAATCAAACAAAATCATAAATATTTCTTTTAAATACATTTAACTGTAATCATATACACTGATCCAGTCTTTTCCGAATAAATACCCAGTATAAACAGCGATCTATTGAACATTATCTTACAAACCAACAACTTAACAGGGTAAACGTAAGACCTATCTCGGATCAAGGCATTAAGGAAATAAACAGAATTGTCATTCAACTTTTCAGTCAACCAATACCCAACGAGTCATGTCCCGCATTCTCTAATTGGGTATTGTCCTTGTATGAAATATCACTAAGTGGGAAATGTCCTTATATGGGTAAGTATGTCAATCATGTTCTTATTATGTCCTACATTCTTGAACGAGTATGTTCACTTTCTGCTAACACTGTTTATAGCTCGTCTGATTTATTGCAGACTAATAAGTGGCAAATTTTGATGAAAATAAAAAAAAATCCATTTGGCTATCATTATTTGCACAAATGTTTGGTCATATACATTTTGGATGTTGCTTCTGGATGTTTCAAAGTTCATTAAGACAGACCATATTCCTTTGATATCTAGTAATCCTGAGTATTGATAGTATCTTCATGACCTTGAACTTTGGAGAACAATTCCTTAGGTCACAGTCTATGAAAGCCCTCTGAGAAGACTCTGCTTTTTCTGGCGAAATGCAGTCCTTCCTAAAAAAGTTTGACACCTTTCTAACCATCTCAGTATTGCTGGAATACTTGATCCTCTAACAAGAAAAACTGAAAAACAAAAAACGTTTCAATTTAAACGATGATATACTAATGATTATATGCACAATTGTCTTGTAAAGTTCTAAATTCTCCATGTATCAACAAAAATACAAATTACATTATAAATGAATTAATGAAATTTTGACATTAACAAACTTTATATATGATTAAGATATGACAAAAAACCTATTTTCAATGTTAAAACTCACCCAAATTTCTAGCAATATATTTCATCATCTGCCTTCTCAGATGACTGGTCTGTCTTTCCCTGAGCTGCCCCTTGGGAAGCCCCTGAATTAACTGCCCCTTGGGGAGCCCCTGAATTTGGGATGTCCACTGAGGCTGACTTGTGTGTATGACTTTTGTCACCAAGCAACAGGCTAGGGACAGATGTCAGACTGGATGATCTGCCCTTGCTAGAGCCAGGCTCTGCTAACTTCATGATGCGGGACAAAGATGACGAAGATGACGGTTGTTTATTTGGCATCATATTCGACCGTGGGTGGTAGGATTTCTGTCCCTGACTAGCACTGTTGTTTTGGGGTCCCACTACACCACTGATACTGTTTATAGAACTGTTACTGCCACTGGCCGCCAGCTTGAAGGGCAGCACTTGCTGTACACTACCACCCTTACCCATTATACTGCTGGAGGACGCCTGTCCACTTAGTCCACTACGTGCTGGAAGCTGCTGCTGCACTTTAATTCCAGACACTTTCTGTTCATTTTTAGCACTTAACAAATGTTCGGGCAGGTTCTTTTTACTAGCACTAGATGACAAACCAGCCCGTGAATCACTACGGCTAGTTGCCATTTCTCGACGGGAAGTTTTCACATTTCCCTGTCGAAGTCTGTCCATGTCATTTTCAATCATCTGACAAAAATCTGCTGAAGCAGACCGTCTATGATTTGCCTGAGCACTGCTCGGCGAATTGTCCCTTTTGGTAACTTGACCAAAGTCTGTGTGAGAGTCATAAGACTCAGAACTACTAAGCTGGGAAACCCCTGGAGCACTAGAATGCCCATCCTTTCTTAGTTGACTTTCCCACAACATAATCTGTGCCTGATAGCGCTCCTTATCTTGTCGAAGATCCTCCTTCTGTGATTGAATCTCTGCTGCAATCTCACGACGTTCCATTTCCAACTTTTCCTGTAATACATGATTTGGATAACTGATCAGAAATGAAATTGGAGAAATAAATATAGGTATCAGTATTTCCACTTAATGATCATAACAATGGTTCGCACATAAATAACAGATAATCACTAATTATTAAAAAAGTGAATTTTTCAAAATGAACAAATTATTTTCACATCTTAAGTATTTAAAATTCAACTTTATTTAAGCACGGATGATTAAATTTCCTGAATTCACAATATCTATATTTTTACCTCCTCTAATTTTATAGCTTGTTTCATCTCTTCAAGGTTCAGGCGCTCTTGTTCGGCGTAGTTTCTCTCACGCTCCTTTGCTCTTTCAAATGCTTGTTTTTCTTTCCTTAACATTTCCTGTAAACAAATTGATTAATTGAACAATATTTTTTGGAACTGTTTTTGTATATGTTTTACATTTTTGTATTCTTTTGACCTATGTTCTATATATAAATGATAGCTATACTGCAAATATGTGACCTATATTGAGTACATATAAAACTATTCTTCTTTGTTCAGCCTACAGACTGTGGCCTATGTTATACATGTATGACCTATATCTGGTATGTCTGGTATATCTAGTATGGTATCTTACATTTGCCCAGTCTACTAACTGTAGCCTGTATAGTACATGTGTGACCTATATCTTTTATCTTTGTGACCTGTATTGTACATGTGTGACCTATATCTGGTATGGTTGTGACCTATATTGTATAGATATCTTACATCTGCCCAGCCTACTAACTGTAGCCTGTATAGTACATGTGTGACCTATATCTTTTATCTTTGTGACCTGTATTGTACATGTGTGACCTATATCTGGTATGGTTGTGACCTATATTGTATAGATATCTTACATCTGCCCAGCCTACTAACTGTAGCCTGTATAGTACATGTGTGACCTATATCTTTTATCTTTGTGACCTGTATTGTACATGTGTGACCTATATCTGGTATGGTTGTGACCTATATTGTATAGATATATTACATCTGCCCAGCCTACTAACTGTAGCCTGTGTAGTACATGTGTGACCTATATCTTTTATCTTTGTGACCTATATCTTGTATCTTTGTGACCTGTTAAGTACATGTGTGACCTATATCTTGTATCTTCGTGACCTGTATTGTACATGTGTGACCTATATCTTGTATCTTTGTGACCTATATCTTGTATCTTTGTGACCTGTTAAGTACATGTGTGACCTATATCTTGTATCTTTGTGACCTGTATTGTACATGTGTGACCTATATCTGGTGACCTGTATTGTACATGTGTGATCTACATCTTGTATCTTTGTGACCTGTATTGTACATGTGTGACCTATATCTTGTATCTTTGTGACCTGTATTGTATAGATATCTTACATCTGTTCAGCCTACAAACAGCTTTGTACTCACCTGGAGATTCCGGAGTTCCTCCAACTGGTTGTACCTGTATCCTCCCTTACGTTCATGGACCTCTGCTGATAGTTTGTTGATACGTTCATTAGCCTCAGCCAGCTGAGCTCGCAGGGTTTCCACGGCTGTTCCTTGTTGGGCTGTCAAATGCTGCAAGGACACAAAATGACCTATATTTATAAACTTTGTTTTGATCGTATTGATTGGGTGGTATCAATAACAAGCTAGACAAACCTGTAAGTCATTATTGTATACCGAGGTAGTGGTTTAATCATGTTTACTAAAGTTACTTCATGCTTCTATGAATGCCATCTGAATTTTCTCCAAGATTTTACTTTTACACAGATTAATGCATTGTCTATCATTCTGATGAGGAAGCTTTTAGGTTTTAGTTTCAAATTTTATTCATACTTTCAATTTAATTAAAAATCAAGAACATGCTAAAAAAACCCCCGAAATTCATGTTATGTAGATATAGAATAATTATTAAATAAATTTGCAATTAATTTGGTTGTTTAATTTCCAGTCTAAACACAATCAATACCAATTGTATCTAGTATGTACCCTGGAACACCTGTGAAGAAATAGAAAAGTGACAGGTAAGATGAGAGCTATATCACACCTTTAACACAATGACCAGCTGTCAGTTGTTCCTACACATTATCCTGGCTCACTGCTACTGAGGTTATACAATAGATAGGTGGTGTAAGTAGAGAGTAATGAAAGGTTAATTTTCAGCCCAGACACAGATGGCATCCTGTACACATGTATCAACCATGGCTGATACCCATACTTAAGGTGGCCTGACATTAGGTTACATTTAAAAGTATCAACATTAGAAAAAAAAAGCTGACATGACAAATGGCTTTGACAGACCAATGTTTGTGTTGTACTTTCTAGAAGTAACAACACGGAAATGTTGGAGAGTTGGTATTGGTACCAGTGTATATGACACTGTTCATAGTGTCACAATGACAAAGCTTACTTTCAGGTGTGCAGCAGATACGACATTGTTCAGTGTCACAATGATATACATTATCAATCTTTATTAAAGGTTTAAAAGGTAAACAACATTCTTAACATTTTCTGTTTAAATATATTCAGATATTTAATTGAACATTCTGACATTAAGCAGTGTAATTGAAATATTTTTGTACTGTATGTATAGAGCCAGCATTATAGATCTACCTGGCACCATCAGAGTGTTACCTGAAATACCGAATAAATAAGGAAAATAATCTGGATTAATTTGTCTGGAACTTCCATCACTAAGGGTACAGGTCAATGGTAGTATGACAATGTGTTCGAAATTTCAATAACTGAAATAAGTATCACCATCAATAACCAAATCCTCTCAATACAGACGCCAAATAATAAAGAAATTCCATCACTTCATCAGCAAAATGATGAAATGACAAAGCAAAAAGTTCTAAGCTTTTAGTAAGGTGAATTGATCAGTTCACAGAAAAGTCCATATTTATCTTACTATACTTTATCATCTAGTAAAGTTCTTTTTTCATCAAAGCACCTGAACTTTTTTAAAAGTGCACAATGAAGGCCTGTGTTTTCACAGACATTCCTAGCTCAGCCGAATCCAGGTTACCAAGTCTACACTGAATACATCATACCAAACACAGAAATGCAAAACCTAACAATACAATAGTCATCTCTGATGTTGTACTGGCCACGTATGATGGACAAGTCCAGTGGCATAAAAAAAAGTCTACAGTTACACAAATCTACAATTACACAAAGTTAACACCTGTGTATAGAAGTGCCCTGCAAAAACAGTCAAAAATATCACTATTACCACTTCAATCCACATTCCTTTTCGCTGTTTTTTACAATCTTCTCCTTGATTACTGCAAAAATTTAATTTCATATGCCTTAATGAAATTTTAAAAATGTGTTTTGAAATATTTCACTGGTCAGAACTGAAGAGGCAACTTACATACTTACTTTGTCGTCGACAAAAATTTTGTTTTTTCACAAACTTACATATATCATTAACTACCTTTGATTTTTCATTTTAAATGTAGTAAGAGATACAACTTAAGTATTTTCTCAGCAAGAAACCTGATCTGGAGCAGACAGTGGTTCTAAGTTTTGTAGCGAGAGATCACATCACTAAGTGGGTTATTGTGATCTGTTTGGGAAAGCGTTATGTGACACAGCCAACTATATTTAGGTAGGATATTGCTACATTTCCTCATTAAGGGTCCTTGTCTCTCCTACGTGTATAGTCTATTCACATTAGTCTACTATTATTATTTATTTTCTCTTTCAATTGGTAATTAATTGTGTCATATTCATGGACATTATTGTTCCATATATGTCCTACACAGGGAGGGTATACCCTTGTTGACCTACACAGGGAGGGTATACCCTTGTTGTCCTACACAGGGAGGGTATACCCTTGTTGTCCTACACAGGGAGGGTATACCCTTGTTGACCTACACAGGGAGGGTATACCCTTGTCCTACACAGGGAGGGTATACCCTTGTTGTCCTACACAGGGAGGGTATACCCATGTTGACCTACACAGGGAGGGTAAACCCTTGTTGTCCTACACAGGGAGGGTATACCCCTGTTGTCCTACACAGGTAAGGTAAACCCTTGTTGTCCTACACAGGGAGGGTATACCCCTGTTGTCCTACACAGGTAAGGTAAACCCTTGTTGTCCTACACAGGGAGGGTATACCCCTGTTGTCCTACACAGGGAGGGTATACCCTTGTTGACCTACACAGGGAGGGTATACCCCTGTTGTCCTACACAGGGAGGGTATACCCTTGTTGTCCTACACAGGGAGGGTATACCCTTGTTGACCTACACAGGGAGGGTATACCCCTGTTGTCCTACACAGGGAGGGTATACCCTTGTTGACCTACACAGGGAGGGTATACCCTTGTTGACCTACACAGGGAGGGTATACCCCTGTTGTCCTACACAGGGAGGGTATACCCTTGTTGACCTACACAGGGAGGGTATACCCCTGTTGTCCTACACAGGTAAGGTAAACCCTTGTTGACCTACACAGGGAGGGTAAACCCTTGTTGTCCTACACAGGGAGGGTATACCCGTGTTGTCCTACACAGGTAAGGTAAACCCTTGTTGTCCTACACAGGGAGGGTATACCCCTGTTGTCCTACACAGGTAAGGTAAACCCTTGTTGTCCTACACAGGGAGGGTATACCCCTGTTGTCCTACACAGGTAAGGTAAACCCTTGTTGTCCTACACAGGGAGGGTATACCCTTGTTGTCCTACACAGGGAGGGTATACCCCTGTTGTCCTACACAGGGAGGGTATACCCTTGTCCTACACAGGGAGGGTAAACCCTTGTTGTCCTACACAGGGAGGGTATACCCTTGTCCTACACAGGGAGGGTAAACCCTTGTTGTCCTACACAGGGAGGGTATACCCCTGTTGTCCTACACAGGTAAGGTAAACCCTTGTTGTCCTACACAGGGAGGGTATACCCCTGTTGTCCTACACAGGTAAGGTAAACCCTTGTTGTCCTACACAGGGAGGGTATACCCCTGTTGTCCTACACAGGTAAGGTAAACCCTTGTTGTCCTACACAACAGAGCTGTTTCAATGAAAAAATCTTTCATGAACATGTTTTTGTGATCATTTTATAGACGCAATTTTAAGAACTTTCTTCAAAATATTGTAGGTACAGTGTAAATAATACCTGTTTCAGGAAGTATAGAAAAGGGACTGTGCTATGATTGATGTTGACTTACAGGGCAGGAGTTACAACTTACACCCAGATTCAATAGCAGTTTCCTAACAGAAGAAGAAAAGTTAATTTTCATAATTCCACCAAATTATGAATGGAGACAATCCTATGAGTGGGCTAGGGAAGAAATAAAAGTTGTCGGTAAGGGTAGAAATAAAAGTTGTGCACATTGTTATACATATATTATATTTCAGTCATAATAGAAGTCGTTTCCACTAATGTATTTTGTTTTCTTTCATGAGTAAATTCATTTGACTTTTCTCTATGAAGGTGTTTGTGTTACACTATACATGTAATGGATTTTATGTGAAAGGATAATGAAAGTTATATCTAACTGTACTTGTTAAGGTTAGGTCCTGTTTGATACATGTCCTGGACAAGTTCTGTCTCACTATGTGACAAATGCATTGTCAAAATTCACTTAATGGATAGTTAACAGTCATTTGGTGCATAGCCAGAAACAAAACTAAAAAACAAATCCTATCAATTTCTAGAGGTCATTTCTTTGAAATAAGGTTGGTCAAACTCTAGTTTGGTGCTAGAATCACACAGAGAAATTAAATATTCTCACGCCTTGAGAGAATGCTTGTGTGTCTTTGAGTGCAAAAAGCTGACAATATTGTGTAATGACTTAACACCAAATAACAGTGTCAAGTATCCCATGGGATTTTGGTCTCAATTTAGATTTATATCAAGCTGGTTAAACAACAGATATGTTTAATATTATCTTAATTACTTTAATTACTCTCAACAACAACAGGAAACATCTCTCTGCCATTTCATCACTTTTTTTCTCCTTGCTTTATTGATCTCTTTTAAACAAGGCCATTTTGTTTTTTTACAGAAACATCTTTGAGAAGCCTCAGCCTGACACCACCAAAGCAGGTTGGGAAATCCTTCTCCAGTGACTAGGGAGGAGATAAAACATTACTGCTGGGCAGACCCAAGTTCTGATCTATCAAAGCCTTGAACTTTGAACCAGGGACAACAGTAGTACCCTAAAGCTTTAGTGTGATTCATCTTCTCATGTAGTCTTATCTTCTTCCCTGCTTCCAAACATAACAGTAATGCTCTTTATAAGGGTTACACCTTACAAGGGGTGTTATCAGCTGTCACAGACATGGCCCCCTTAACCAGGGGTTACACATTACAGGGTGTGGCTAAATACTATATTCAATTAATTGAGTTTATTTGGTTATTATCTGGCAAATAATGTGACAATATCAGCATTTTTTGCCATTTCACGAGCAGCAATCAAGCAACATTTTGTTGTATTACTGTCAATTATAGTTATAATTGATTGAAACATCTGACATCCTCATCTTATTCACAGCTAACCCACGACTCATAAACGACATGCCATGGAAATTTCAACCATGAGAATGCAGAAATTCTAATCCATGACAGACGACTCCATGGAGTCAAATAAACTAACTCAGATATTTGTATATTGATAGATTTATTGAAATTCAAATTCATCTGACGCTCCATTTGTAAATGTCAGACTGACACACACTGAACAGAAGTATTAACTGAAGGAATGCGATGAAACATGGTCTGTGCTTTTGTTGGTAAATCTCTGCTATCTTGTGTGTTAAGTGATGATTGAGCCAAATGTGTGTGTGTGAGGTCACAATGACACAAATTAATGTCTGATGACGCACAGTATGACCAATCAAATGTCCTATAAACCTTACAAGACTGTCCTGACATACACTACTGCAGGGTGTCTGAACCCTTAACAATTACTTTATCCTTAGATGTTAGTGAAGAACTGACCATTATGTTCGAGGACTTCATGCTTCTCCAGTGAAATGTGACCAGGATTTACTTACAATGATGGCAACTACCTGTACACATGTCCTCATGAGGCAAGTGAGAGAGAGGAGGAGGAGGAGGAGGAGGGGGTTGACAGTCTAGAGAGGCTATCACCTAGGCTTTCATACATGTTTTGTTTTTTATAAACGACATGTATTATAAATTATTTTCAGTCGGTAAGATCATGTGTCTGACTTTTTATTTAGAATAAAAGTTAAAAGTCAGAAAATAAAAATGAGAAGTGATTCATATAAAAAAATTGGGTAATCAAAAACAGAAAAGAACTGTTGACTAAACCTGACCTGTCTAATGCATTTTAAAGCCATTTTGTGAGACAGATATTTATCAGGTAAAGCAGTAAGCCTATGTGTAATGAACAGGCAGTTTGATGTGTTTAGTGCTCCCTATAGAAGGTACTTATATAAGCTGGCAAAATGCTGGAACAAATCATGCATATCATCAATTTATTAAAATGACTTATCAGAAGAAAAACAAACCAGACAATCTTACAAACAAAACTTTCCAGAGGTAGATTCATGCCCACTATTGTTTGATCTTTACTTGGCCTTTAAAATCTTGATCTTTTCCCTTCTTTCCTTTATTTTTGCTCTTTATTTTATGAAAATTCCTCATGAGAAATAGTAATAATAATCTTTAACTGTCAAATCAAAGATAGTTAAATATGGCCATTTTGTTTTTTCTGATCAGTCCCAAAATCCATCTAGGAGTTCTCTGGAAAAAATGACAACAAATTACAACAGCTGAAAACCAAGATGGCCACCTGTCAGGATTCTTGTATTTTCCTTCAGTCTAAAAACATATCATGCAACAAGGGATCAAGGTGAACCTATATACAAAATCTGAGAATGATTAATGAAATACTTCTCCAGAAATAGCAAACTATTACTTTCAAAATCGAAAATGGTCATCTGTTGGCAATGTTACTGATCAATCCCAAAATCAAACAAGGTACCATTAGGGCCCAAGGTGAGCATATAAATGAAATTTGAGATGGGTCATAGAGTACTTCTCAGATAACACAGTGATAACAAAATCTCACCTGGCTTTGCTTGGTGGAAATTGTTTCATCAAAACTAAAGGAAAAGGAATTCTAAATACCTAACCACATAACACACACATCTATATTATCCCATTTTGCCCAAGCCCTCTGTCTCTAGGGGGTCAGCCAAACCATTCATGCCTCAGACCAATTTGAGATAGGGGTTGAGGTCCACTGTTTATACAAAATGAATTCCCTTCACCCAGGAAAGATTCAGACTAAATTTGGGCAAAATTCAATCATTTAGGAGTATAACCAAAGTATTTGCCCTATTTCCCTTATTGGATCCAGTTCATCCTGCCACAGAGGACAAAGACTCATCGTTTATAAAAATTGATTCCTCTTCACTAAAGAATGCAGCAGACCAAATAGATACCGATAGATCAACGAACACAACTATTAAGGCATAATCTCACCAGTCCTTCAGACCAGGTGGGTGAAAATATGCCAACACAGAAGTCTGATTCATCACTGACCTTTTACACAGAAGTCTGATTCATCACTGACCTTTTACACAGAAGTCTGATTCATCACTGACCTTTTACACAGAAGTCTGATTCATCACTGACCTTTTACACAGAAGTCTGATTCATCACTGACCTTTTACACAGAAGTCTGATTCATCACTGACCTCTTACACAGAAGTCTGATTCATCACTGACCTCTTACACAGAAGTCTGATTCATCACTGACCTTTTACACAGAAGTCTGATTCATCACTGACCTCTTACACAGAAGTCTGATTCATCACTGACCTTTTACACAGAAGTCTGATTCATCACTGACCTCTTACACAGAAGTCTGATTCATCACTGACCTCTTACACAGAAGTCTGATTTCTGACCTCTTACACAGAAGTCTGATTCATCACTGACCTTTTACACAGAAGTCTGATTCATCACTGACCTTTTACACAGAAGTCTGATTCATCACTGACCTCTTACACAGAAGTCTGATTCATCACTGACCTTTTACACAGAAGTCTGATTCATCACTGACCTTTTACACAGAAGTCTGATTCATCACTGACCTTTTACACAGAAGTCTGATTCATCACTGACCTTTTACACAGAAGTCTGATTCATCACTGACCTTTTACACAGAAGTCTGATTCATCACTGACCTTTTACACAGAAGTCTGATTCATCACTGACCTTTTACATCTTATTTATGACTGACTTTTAACACAGAAATATAGTTCCAAAGTTCAGTGGGTATGATAACGATTGAATGAATTTTCATAAATAAAACTTGTTCATTACAACACCTAAAATCACTTATACCAAGTTTTTATATTGGTAAACATACTATTCAAGTAAACGTTATTTTGTTGTATTAATACACACTCTTAAATAAAGCTGTTTTCCATTACTGCCGAATGCAGCAAAAATATATGTGGTAGGTGTATTCTGACAACATCAGCACTAGTTGCAGGATAAGTAATATATGTTTGCACTGAACTTTGCAATACGACATTGGTATCAGTTTGAAGATAAAGACCTTTTAATCTATCTGCAATATGCATGAGAAAATAACGATTTCTTTCCACAATTATCATTTGAATGCTAACCCAGGCGCAGGTCACTTGTTTCCCTCTCTCTTTATAGTGCCTGGGTCCAGACATTTATTGACTCTAGACAGATACAAAAAAAGTTGATAGAATTTCAAAACAATTTGGACTATATAAGGAGATGGAATATATCTATCAATAAATAAGACATACCACGATGCTGTGAAGTGAACGGGCCAGCTGGGTGATGGATGCCAGGTGATTTTCTCCGTGGATTATATTGGATTGTGTGGAGGACCCGGAGATATCGCCCAGAGATCCAGCCTCACTGTGACTGTAATGATCATACTGTCGTGTGCTGTCCAGAGAATCATCTGCTTCGGCAGTCTGAAAGATACAGAGAATCATGTAACATTTAGTGAATCAAACTTTGTATGAAAAAAGATGCAAGGGCAATAACTCGTCACAAAATAAATATATATCATTAATCAACTCTAGCATTCCTACACCATCTTAATTAAAAACAACACGATCTATTAATCACAAGAAACTTTTTCCATGATTTTATTACATGCTCTTTATTGGTTACCATGGTACCAGAGCTTACCTTTTCATATGTTGAGGATTCTGTAACTGGACATATTTCTGAGTCGCTGTCAACATTTTGAGGACTTCCACTACGACCTTCTAAATCCTGGAGTTCAGCCAGATATTTCTTCTTTGGAACACATGCTTTAGGTACATCAAATGAGCTGTCGAAGCCAGCAAATGTCTCAGCCCTCTTTGGTAGGGGTGTCAGCGAAAAGCCAGAACTCACATGTTCACCAACACTACTCACATGTCGACTCAAGTGAGACCCAGATCCCTGTAGCATGGTGGTGAGCCGTGATGCTGTGGCTGACACTACAATTACAAATAATTTTATCATTATTTGTCTTGTTAGGATAAATATTGGGTATTACTTACAAATTCATCAACCCAGGGATAATGTTCCAGCAAAGTATAACTTGATATAAACAAACATTAGTGACCCAGGGATTAAAATTCTTAACCCATTCTACTACTGCAAAAGGGTAATATTCAAATGTGATCAAATTCCTTATCAATAAAATATACTGAAAACATGAGGAAATTTCCCCAAAAACAGCTGGTTCGTATACAGTTGAAACTCATCTTGAAATCCCTTAAGTCTAAATTCCATTTGAGTAGAAACAATTTTCAAATCCCAATTTTTTTCCACCTATATATACGAAGTCAAAATTTCAGTTGAGTCAAAGCGATTTTTCAGTCCCTTGAATTGTAAAACAAAGGAAAAGTAATTCAGAGTAATAAGTTCATCGTTCACACAACACTTGGTCACTGGCGATTAATTACCAGTGTAATTATCCAATTAAAGGTTGGCTTCTTAATTAGTGTCACCATCCTATAGCAGTGACTTACCTGTACCTTATAAAGGTAGCGGCTTTACACAAAACATGAAAACATTTAGCTTGGTTGCATGCAACTTAAGGAACAATGAAAACAAAACCTTCAAACCAGTACAAAAGATTTGCTGAAATCTGATCCCCACAATTCTGACAGAAAAGAATTTTGAGCTTGTTTACTAAAGGACTGTGATCTGGCACTTATTCAGATTTAGTGTTTGGACAATGAAGTTGCTTAAAGTATTTTTCATTGATATCGTCTATATCTGCATGATTCGTTAAGTCTAGTGCTTGTAGAATGTTTTCTGTAACAGGTAAAACCTTTTTAGTGCCACATTTTTCATATGTTTATTTATTTCATAATAAAGTCATATTGAATTGATCTGTAGCTTCATACATCGTTTCTTGTAGAGTATCAAAAGCAATTTTAATTTTGATTTATTGTCATTGCGTAAAATATATATGATGTATATGTGCTTGGTCAGTAAGGGTATTGTACACGTGTGTGGGATGGAATGACATGAGTACAAATGTATTTGATGGGAGTTGTTATAACATATTTAGTTGTTTGGAGAAATAAACAATAAAAGAAGAAAGTAAAAATAAATCTATTCGATTGTTTACTGCCATTTCAAATAACAGATTAAACTAATCTGTTTGTGTGTCATCGTTGCCCTACTTCATTCAACTGTAATCTACGTCAGGAAAATGACATCTTCAACCTTATCTATACACTTTGTTTGAGCTGAAATTCGGATCAGTCAAATTAATTTCTATGGCCCATTGAATTTCGTGATAATGAGTTTTGACTGTCTTAACTTCCTAATTATTTCCCCAAAATTTTATATCAACCATGACAATGAATTAACATTAAATTTATAAAATATTTCCACAGGTAAGTAAAAGTTATGCCCCTTCCCTGTTTAAATGCTTGAAGAGTTATTCCCCTTACCTTCCTGTATGGCTGTCTGAAGAGCATCCATGTGTTCTGTGCTATCCTCTGCTGATGGTGTGGCCTTCTGTACAGAAAAGGACACATATTATTTTATACGTCAATATATATTGAATTACTTAAAACATCATCTGCCTAAATCAATGTGACATCGGTTTAAAAATCTAGAGAGCCATTTAAAAATCAGCTTTCAATGGTTAGAACATGACTGAGTTCCTTGCAACATTCCTTCACAATGTCCCCTTAAATGTTTGATATGATCAACCCTGAATCTAAAACAGTATCTCATTAAAATGTCTGATGATGCAACTAATGCAACAAAAGTTACCTTGTCTATGAGGCTACCAATGTGGGAGCTGTACTGACCTTGTCTGTGAGGACACTATTGCGGGACCAGTACTTAAGTTTTCAGTGAGGCAACTAATGTGGGACCAGTATTTACCTTCCAGCTGTACATCTCTAACAGTTCCATCATCAGTTTGTTCTTGTCATCACAACAAATCTTGATCTCTCTGTCCTTGTGATGTAGTTGTTCTGTAAAATGATAATCATGTTAATGGTACTGTGTGTGTGTTAAGTGAACTTTGATTTAATACCTAAGTGGAAATGAAATGAAATATTGTTAGCAGAAATTTAACTTCCTTAATATTTCATTTGGAAAAATATAATTATTTACAAAGAAATGCCATGCTTATCTCAATTTGATTAAATCTAATTTATCATACCTATGATGTCCTTGACCTTGGCCGCCCTCGCTTCCATTAATCGTTTCTGTTCTTCATCCTCTTCATTGGGAATCTCTTCCACTAAAATAGAAGAATCAAAATGCGATTAAAAATCAAAGGTGCAATGAAAGAAAGATGAAAATTTTGTTGCTGTGCATACACATACATATCCTGCATAAAGCCCAGGTGGGCAACTAGAAATTTGTGACTTGGGTATGGACTTATTAAAGGACTGTGAGACTGTTTAATGTTAAGTATCTATACTACTAGAAATGTTACTGACCTTCCTCAGGAGGACAGCCGTCGGTGGCCTGTCTCAGCACCTCTATCCAGTTTCGTCGGTAATTGTTGTTGGCACAGATAATCTCGTACATCTCTGGGTTCTGTTTGTTCTGGCTGATGAGGTAAATTCCCCGGCTATCAGCCCGAGTGTCCCCCTTCTCCCTGACCAGCAGTTGGAAGAGAGGAATCACGCTGGACTGTAATATACAGTAAAATATGTTACAGAAACAGTTAGTGTCTTTAGTCTCCCTAGTCAAGGTCAAGCAATCACACATCTGTCCATGTGTCAAGTCATAGCTTTGTAATATCTAGTAAATCAACAGATATTCAGGTAAATAACTATAGTAATCAACATTTTAATCTGTATTATATAATGAAACCCAATGAAAACACAACATCAGAAATTTTTGAAAAATTCAAAATTTCATTTGAAACTTATGTCATCAATTCTCAATACTGACTTCTTAAAATTGTAAAGGATTGTATATGGAAGGGGAGATACATAAGGAAGAAGGATATACCCCAATTTTGTTTTCTCAATGTCAGTAGCGAATGTATGTCCACTACTTGCTGTCACACATACAATATGTACGCTACAACTTCTGGCATTGACCACACTAGGCATTAAATCAGTATAGACTGAATGTCTCCATTCCTCCAGAAATGCCTTACGAGTTGGTGCCTATCTTTGATTAATGCCAAGGTTTGTCCTTATTAATCCAATAGGTGTTTAATGGGAATCAGGTCTGGAGAAAAGACAGGCCAAGGAAGCGTCAGATTGTTTTGCTGATAGAGAAAGTCACTGGTCAATCTAGCAGAGTGTGCATGAGCATTACCCAGCTGTAGAATGTCATTAATGTGGTGTGTGGTGAAAATGGTATAACAGTTGGTTTTGAGATCTTGTTGGTGTAGCGTTGGGCTGTTAGATTACCACTGACAGTCACTAACAAGGTTTGTAATGGAAAGAAATTGATCTTCCTCCTACTCGTAGATACAGCAAAATGTTCAACACTGAGTCTTCAAACTCTGCTGCCAATATCGAGCGAGTGAAATCATGATTCATTGTTGAATATCACAGGCTTCCATTCATTGCCAAATTTACCATTTCAGACATTGCCTTGTCCACACAAATTGGTTTTGACATTGATGCTGTAACAAGATGGTACCACGAAATGGCCTGTGAGCTTTTTTACTCACTTGCACACAGAAACTTGTTTTCCCCAAATTCTAATGGTTGTCTTAAAGTTTCTGTTGTCATTAGAAACTAATCACAGAGATGTTGATGACATGTAGTGGTCAACCTTGACGGGTCTATCACTTAAAGTGCCAGTCTGGAGATAACATTGGTTTATTCGGCAGATAGTAGAAGGTGAACAACTCATTCTATGTATAATTTCACAAGCCCATCAGCTAGCATACCCTTTACCTCATGTCTTTGGTTAACAGAAAGCCTTTGTATTTTCTTTGCAAACACATATTTTTTTACAGGGATTGCAAGGGTGTAGTATGTAAGCTGTTTGTACATTGACACGAAAAGCAATAGCCAATGTGCTATTTTACGACAACCAGAAATGACATCAATATACCTAGAGAGATATACAAAACATTGACTCAGGGAAACTTACATGACATTGACTCAGGGAGACTAACATGACATTGACTCAGGGAGACTAACATGACATTGACTCCGGGAGAATTATACGACATTGTCTCGGGGGAGACTCATGTGATATGGTCTTGGAGAGAATTATACGACATTGTCTCGGGGGAGACTCACATGATATGGTCTCGGAGAGAATTATACGACATTGTCTCGGGGGAGACTCACATGATATGGTCTTGGGGAGAATTATATGACATTGACTCTAGGACTTACCTTACTGTCCTGGGAAAAAAAGTTGTATTTGCCATTAGTCTCCTGCATGAAGAAAATTAGGTCTGTGAGGACCACCAAAATGGCATCTGAAATAATAAAATATTTTTATTTATAAAATAAATTACCTTATATCTACAGAATGATCCCTGAGAATTCATTTCTAAAGAGAGAGATGAAACAAAGCATAATGGTTTTTCCACTTTTTGAAAGGTGTATCTGAAAAATGTGTTTAAATGTTATGAATTGGAAATTGAAAGCTGATTGAATGATGATGTTTAAGCAAGACTGACTGGATGTCTGATCCCGAGTGACCATAAAGATTAGATATCTGATGCACTTACCTGTTACTTTACCACGAGCATTCTTCAGTTGGACTGACCCTTCATGTAAAAGGCACCTTTCATTGGCTATAATATCTGACCTCTGTCAACAGAATAATATTATCATTAAACCATGATGTTAAGACACCTCTCATTGGCTATAATATCTTACCTCTGTCAACATACTATTATTATTAAAACATGATGTAAAGACACCTTCTGTTGACTATAATACCTGACTATCTCAGCCTCTTTAGTTTACATGACTTTGAGGAAGCAAAAATAAAATAGTTTTTGGGAAAAGTATATAACTGACAATAATAACATTTCATGATAATTTTCACTGTCAGTGGAAAGAGTTCAGATGGAGAATATTTATATATAAGTAAATTTCACTACGTAAAATAATATAATAATTATTATGCAATATTCAATGTATTTTCTGTGTTTTATCACCATGTAAACAGTAAGGTAACTAGGACAACAATCCTACAGACTATGCTATCACTGCCCCAAGTAACTTACAACGCAATTTTTATTTCTTCAACATCTTAAAGTAATACAGATACAAGGAATACATTTTACTCCCCAACTCCCCGAAAGCTAAATACAAACTTTTAAGATTTTCGAGCAGAAGTCATCCTTAATAAATAAATCAACTTGATTCATTTTATAAAAAATTGCGAAACAAGTTTTTCCTACTTATGTAAATCGCCATTGTTGTCCTGGATGGAAGCTAGCTAGACCTTTAATGACCAACTTACCTTGAACTTCTTGCCTTTGTATATGGCTACAGCTCTCTGGTCCATCTTTGTGTGAATTTCCTCGAGACGTTGTTGTAATTCATACCGGTTAACTTGCTCATCTATACTATGCAGGAGATCTCTACTTAAATTTAAAGCCTTTATTAAGTTTTCTCTGTCCTTTTTATCTGTAAAATAACAAAAGTAAATGATCTAACAATCAATTTAGTAAATCACACTATAAACTGTCCATGAGAACTAATCGATATAAATGTTGGTTAAACCTTGGCCAGTGTAAGAATGTGTGTAGAACATGGAGTCACTTATGACCTCTACAAGAGGGACATTTAAGAATGGCCTCTATATGAGGGACTTACCTTTGGTAATTTATTTCATGGCCTCTCAGAGAGGGACTTACCTTTGGTAATTTATCGTATGGCCTCTCAGAGAGGAATCTATTTTTTCTGTTTTGTAATGTATGGCCTCTGTGGTAGGGACTTACCTTTGGTACTTTTAAGAATGGCCTCTATCAGTGTGAGATATTTGGAAGGTCTCTGTGTCACAGCCAAAAGGAAGTCAGGTATTTCTCTTTTATTACATAATGTATGATTATTGCACTTCTGTAAAAAAAATATCATTATCGTTTTATTATATCATACTATGTATAGAGTTATTGTGATGAAAAATATCAAGCATTCATTCTGATGAAAATACTACTAGGTCATCACATTCTCAATGACCATATTCATAGTCCTTATATCTTGGTCAAACAGTCAAAAACACTTAATAAAAGAAATACCATTGATTATTTGAAATTTGAATCAGATCATTAATATTTCAGTTATGTGTAACTTTTACAAAAAACATCTAGTTTTGTGTGCATTCATGAGCAAACCTTTGATTTACCTTCATATAACTTTGAAATTTCCGATCCTTCGTTAGCAGATCTTTATAATATAGATTAGAGCTCTTCTGTCGACAGCAAAACCCTCCATAGGCTGCCTTCATCTGCTCAGCAGATTCTCCATCAAACTGAAAATAGAAGAAAACAAGGGTTGTATAGTATCTAAAGTTACCTCCCTTCCACCATTAGCTAAACCAAAACATGTATACTATCACCAGTTATCTCCCTTCTACCATTAGATGTAAACATAGCCATTTACTATCACATCAGCTCTCCCTTCCACCATTTGCTTTCTGAATCTTGATTTTGGGGTACTGGACCTTACAAGTGATTATGATGTTGTACCTGATTGACGATAGTCTCTCCGATCTGGTCCACACTGTGGTCAGGTCGGAGATTTTGGAGGTCCTGCAGGCTGTGAAGGAATGTCATGTGAATTTCTATGAGATCATCAAGGTTGGGAAAGAGACGATCCACGACTTCCTGTGGCATATGAAGCTCGTCCAGGATTGTGTGACTGTAGACCTGTGGAAAATCAAAAATTTTGTCAATATACCTGGTTATAATCATCAACTGCTGTGAACTTTCAGGAGATTTAACCAAATGGCAATAAAACAACAGCAGTGAAACTGAGATTTAGACATTAAAAGGGGGCTATTATACCAAGCTAAGTACTGACACACAGTAAAACCTTTAGTGACCTGACACACAGTATATTGTCAGTTACCAGACACATTAAAACCTTAAGTGACCTGACACACAGTATATTGTCAGTTACCAGACACATTAAAACCAAGTGACCTGACCTGACACACAGTATATTGTCAGTTACCAGACACATTAAAACTTTTAGTGACCTGACACACTGTAAACCTTTTACACAGAAAACTCTCAGTGACCATTAAGTAAGTATTCACTGCAGTCACATGTAAAATAAACACAAACGGTATTTATTTTACAGTATTTTAGCAGCTATTTTCCCATAAAGTGCCAACCATTCAACTCAACTAATTGAGAGGATTTATATAGGCTGTATGTTATCTTACCCAGTGGTATATATTATACAATAAAATTTACTGAAGTGAAATTTTTTTTTTTTCAAAGAGAATAATTTCAAATTTCTATAATTTATAATCTTCATAACTTATTGCTATAATAATGAATGGAGTTTCTTTCTTGTATTCTACCGTTACCAGGGAACTATTACCATGGAATTTTCATATCAACATCAAAATCTTACCCGTTGTAAGATCTTTAACCGTCTGCAGTGGTGTCGTTCTGTCTGTATTAATTCTGAAATTAGAAGTAAACAGTAAACCAATCATAGTAAGTATTTAATGGTTAGCGATTTAGTACTATGTAGTGTGTGTCTTTCGGGGTAACAAGAAATAAAAGTTATCTGTACAGGTAACTATCCACTGATAACATTTACAAAATACTATCTCTGTATTCAGAATTCCAACAATACACTGTTAAATACGATGTATGAAAATTGGACCAAGATCTTGTGTTAATTGCCTATAAACACTACAGATTTACCAATTGGTTCTATAATGTTCTGATGGACCAAGATCTTGTGTTAATTGCCTATAAACACTACAGATTTACCAATTGGTTCTATAATGTTCTGATCTTGTGTTAATTGACCAGATTTACCAAGATGTTCTGATGGACCAAGATCTTGTGTTAATTGCCTATAAACACTACAGATTTACCAATTGGTTCTATAATGTTCTGATGGACCAAGATCTTGTGTTAATTGCCTATAAACACTACAGATTTACCAATTGGTTCTATAATGTTCTGATGGACCAAGATCTTGTGTTAATTGCCTATAAACACTATAGATTTACCAATTGGTTCTATAATGTTCTGATGGACCAAGATCTTGTGTTAATTGCCTATAAACACTACAGATTTACCAATTGGTTCTATAATGTTCTGATGGACCAACACCTTATTTTAGTTGTCTATAAACACTACAGATATACAAATGATTCCTGAAATATTTGTATGAATTCATCAGATAAGTACTTAAATTAATTTTTTCTTGCAGTTGTTACAGTTTCTGGTATACATTAAAATTACTTATTGCCAAGCTTGTTCCCCTCCAGTAGTTCAATTAAACATTTCTCACACTTACCCCATATTGTGTCTTGTCGCTTAATATCTTTGTGGCTCATTTTCTTAATTATCTGAAAATAAAACAAACAATGATGAACATTCTAACCTTACAATACATACAGGTGAGAGGGGGTCAAAGAGACATAAGTACCAGTCTAGAAGGGTCATAGTCCAACATCCTTGGTTGGTAGCAATTAAATCCCAACAGAACAATTTTTGTCACTCCTCTCTGATGTGATGTTCGCAAGCAGTTGCCAATGGTCTCTGACCAGGTCCCTACTACATCTCTCAGTATATAGTTGTGTAGTGTTAGTGTGAAGCCAGTGATAGACATCCGAGTCAAAAAATTCACAAGCTGAACTTTGACCTTGAACTGACAACTGTCCAGGTTCCTTAATGTGTCATAATTAGTGTACAAACAACTGCTCACGTACACAAAGGTGTTTTAACAGCTCCTTACAGGTAAGATAAACAATCACCTGTTTGATCTACCTGTACACCCCAGGTGTGATATTCTACCTGTATGGATCAATCAGTCAGTAATGACACCTGTTTATCAATACAAACATATCTATAATATGTTCCCACACTAATTATGGAATAAATATATTATATTTCACACTTATAGTTAATCTGGGCTTTTGTACCCCAACTATTGTCAACAGGTAAGATATCTGTTGAAGAATTATAGGTATGTATTACATATGTTGATCCAGTGATTACATGTTATTTATGTATTCATGTAGACATTTTATATTGTTCATGCTTTTTCATCAACAGTATAACATTATTTCAACAATTATAATAATGGCCAATTTTTTTTCACTCAGGATATTTACACAGCATAAAAACAAACAAGTTGCGATTAAAACAGTTCATTAAAAACTGAAAAATCTAACATTTGAAATTTCTTTGCAAGAGTTAATTATTTAATACTTCAATGAAGTAAATGAAGAAAAAGTTGCGCTAACGTCTGTTTATATGTATCATACTTACTTTTCTATCAATTGAGCCACTCCAAGTCTCTGCTTCATCGTATCGGAGCATCAAGAGCTCGTCGTCGTAATTATCGTTAACTTCAGAAGGTGCTGTTGAATAAAGAGCACAGCTTATAAAAATATAATATACAGAAGCTCTCACTGGATTGACATGTACATCCACATGTATATCCTCCCTACATAACTGGATAAGTAGGACAATTTACACACCTGTGTGATATACACCTGTGTGATAATTAAATTTTCATACAAATATTTTTGACTTAAATCTTTGTTGTACATCAATCACTACTACATGAATTTTCATAAGATCAATAATCATTACATTGATCATTTGTGAAAAAATTGAAATAATTGTAAATGAAAGAGTCTTATCTTAACTCACCGTCTGTGTCATCCAGAGATTCCAGGGACTCCGATATTGTGTCTGTAATACTACAGGAGAAAAAACAACCAATTAATTATAAACAATAGGTAAGTCCATTAGTGTCCACCTCCACACCATCGGTCAGTATTTACATCTGTCCATTAGTGACCAGGATATATAGACTTATGTATAGGAATATTACCTTATCAGAATACAAGAACTGTACTATAGAGTAACAGTACAGTCTCATCCAAAGGCATTCTACTGATAAACGTCATGTACATGTTGAGGAGTAAAATCTAGTTTCTGTTTGATAATGTTGAAGATACTTCAATACAATTTTTTTCTTAAAATTCTTAAATTAGATCTACACTAAGATATTGTTTAATAAGCATGTGATGATGTTGTGACAGATCTGGAGCGCACTTCACACAAACAAATTTTCACTGCACAATTATCTCTTAACATTTGACAGACTCATGAATGAGTCTGGTTACAACAGAAAACAATCTAATCTTTGATGTTTGTGCTACAGTACTATAAGACATGCCAGCACTATAACCCTGTATACTATTGTGTGGTATGTCTGTATATTTGTGTGGTTTGACTAGATAATAAACAACGTCTGTACTTCCACTTATATTTAGTAGGTTTATGTTATTTATAACGTTTTAGTAAGTGGATAACTACTTTTGACAAGCTTTTGGAGTTGTCTCCGTCCTCTATATTTTTAAGATATTAAATGTATAAAGATTTAGCCTCCTCACACTGTGGTCTTTGTAATAGCTAATAATTCTGTCTCCTTTCCTGTTAGTCTAATATTCTTATCAGTGATGTCTGCCCCAGTTTCCTATAGGAAGGAAACTATTCTACACAGATCCGATGGCTACTTTTACAAAACTTTTATTTGTTTCTGCTATATCAAAGAACTGATTCAACTTTTTGCCAAAAACTCAGTTATTTGAAAATAAAAAAAACTCCATCTGGTTTTTAAGGGGCTCCCAAAAATCTGAACCTGGTGTATTTGGTGGCCTCCAACAGATCACTGTCTACTCCTCTGATTCTCTAGCAAAACCTTCATCCCTTCAGTAAATCATGATCCATCTGATCAACTTCATTCCTCATTATCTGACTTTATTCTCACCAAAACGCCATCTCCATAATTTCATAAATAAACTTTAATTGCTTTACAACAGTGAGGATATTATTTTTTTTAAGTTGAAACTTACTTTGACCCAGACTTCTCCACTACATTGAAATAATAACTTACTTTGACCCAGACTTCTCCACTACATTGAAATTATAACTTACTTTGACCCAGACTTCTCCACTACATTGAAATTATAACTTACTTTGACCCAGACTTCTCCACTACATTGAAATAATAACTTACTTTGACCCAGACTTCTCCACTACATTGAAATAATAACTTACTTTGACCCAGACTTCTCCACTACATTGAAATAATAACTTACTTTGACCCAGACTTCTCCACTACATTGAAATAATAACTTACTTTGACCCAGACTTCTCCACTACATTGAAATAATAACTTACTTTGACCCAGACTTCTCCACTACATTGAAATTATAACTTACTTTGACCCAGACTTCTCCACTACATTGAAATTATAACTTACTTTGACCCGGACTTCTCCACTACATTGAAATAATAACTTACTTTGACCCGGACTTCTCCACTACATTGAAATTATAACTTACTTTGACCCAGACTTCTCCACTACATTGAAATAATAACTTACTTTGACCCAGACTTCTTCCCAACATTGAAATTATAACTTACTTTGACCCAGACTTCTCCACTACATTGAAATAATAACTTACTTTGACCCAGACTTCTCCACTACATTGAAATAATAACTTACTTTGACCCAGACTTCTCCACTACATTGAAATATATAACTTCTCCACTACATTGAAATTATAACTTACCCAGACTTCTCCACTACATTGAAATTATAACTTACTTTGACCCAGACTTCTTCACTACATTGAAATTATAACTTACTTTGACCCAGACTTCTCCACTACATTGAAATTATAACTTACTTTGACCCAGACTTCTCCACTACATTGAAATAATAACTTACTTTGACCCAGACTTCTTCCCAACATTGAAATTATAACTTACTTTGACCCAGACTTCTTCCCAACATTGAAATTATAACTTACTTTGACCCAGACTTCTTCCCAACATTGAAATTATAACTTACTTTGACCCAGACTTCTCCACTACATTGAAATTATAACTTACTTTGACCCAGACTTCTCCACACATTGAAATTATAACTCCACTACATTGAAATTATACTTACTTTGACCCAGACTTCTCCACTACATTGAAATAATAACTTACTTTGACCCAGACTTCTCCACTACATTGAAATTATAACTTACTTTGACCCAGACTTCTCCACTACATTGAAATTATAACTTACTTTGACCCAGACTTCTCCACTACATTGAAATTATAACTTACTTTGACCCAGACTTCTCCACTACATTGAAATTATAACTTACTTTGACCCAGACTTCTCCACTACATTGAAATTATAACTTACTTTGACCCAGACTTCTCCACTACATTGAAATTATAACTTACTTTGACCCAGACTTCTCCACTACATTGAAATAATAACTTACTTTGACCCAGACTTCTTCCCAACATTGAAATAATAACTTACTTTGACCCAGACTTCTTCCCAACATTGAAATTATAACTTACTTTGACCCAGACTTCTCCACTACATTGAAATTATAACTTACTTTGACCCAGACTTCTTCCCAACATTGAAATTATAACTTACTTTGACCCAGACTTCTCCACTACATTGAAATTATAACTTACTTTGACCCAGACTTCTCCACTACATTGAAATTATAACTTACTTTGACCCAGACTTCTCCACTACATTGAAATTATAACTTACTTTGACCCAGACTTCTCCACTACATTGAAATTATAATTTACTTTTACCCAGACTTCTCCACTACATTGAAATAATAACTTACTTTGACCCAGACTTCTCCACTACATTGAAATAATAACTTACTTTGACCCAGACTTCTCCACTACATTGAAATAATAACTTACTTTGACCCAGACTTCTCCACTACATTGAAATAATAACTTACTTTGACCCAGACTTCTCCACTACATTGAAATAATAACTTACTTTGACCCAGACTTCTCCACTACATTGAAATTATAACTTCTTCCACTACATTGAAATTATAACTTACTTTGACCCAGACTTCTCCACTACATTGAAATTATAACTTACTTTGACCCAGACTTCTCCACTACATTGAAATTATAACTTACTTTGACCCAGACTTCTCCACTACATTGAAATAATAACTTACTTTGACCCAGACTTCTCCACTACATTGAAATTATAACTTATTTTGACCCAGACTTCTCCACTACATTGAAATAATAATTTACTTTGACCCAGACTTCTCCACTACATTGAAATAATAACTTACTTTGACCCAGACTTCTCCACTACATTGAAATAATAACTTACTTTGACCCAGACTTCTCCACTACATTGAAATTATAACTTACTTTGACCCAGACTTCTCCACTACATTGAAATAATAACTTACTTTGACCCAGACTCCTGGCCAAGGAAAGGATCCACATCTTCACTGATTGGCTTGCTACAAAAGGTCAAATGTCACAGAAATAATAACAAAAGTACATAAGTACCAGAAACACGTTAAATACGTAATCTTTGCTATATCAATAAACATATATCTGATTATTTTATGTACTTGTCAGTGGCGACTTTATTGATCAAGATGGAAAAGTCATGCATAGTTTAGACACTTATTAACATTTCTAGCAAACACAGGTGTCCAACATGCTGTTAATGGTGAAATCAAAATAATGAAATATTAAAATATTTCCTGTTACAACAAATATACACTGATGAGTGATGTCCTTACAGGGTACAGTCTATTTGAAATTGTCAATAAATCAATTGGATCATTAATTAAGAGATTGTTGTTTTACACAAGATATGTGCCAGCTGTTTTCCTAATTATACCACTTCATTGTTATGCTTGTATAACACATTAATTTTTTTTTAAAAAGGTGAATAACTAAAATAAAATTCAGTGACCTGGGCATTTATACAAATAACTTAATACATATACATCAATTTGTACATGGGAGACATTTCTTAAAAACATTCACTTTCTACCCGTGTGCTGAGGAAATCTTCTGTTTTAACACTGTCTTTTAACCAGAATCTGATCTGTAAATATCTTTAATTCACATGTACAAGATGCTAAGCAATTACCACATATAATAATCAAGCTTGCACAGCGACCAACAGAGAAGCACACCCCTATGTCATGCATGCAGCTGTGAATGACATCTATAACTTTTAATCTGATACTATGATATCGCTATGATGTAACATTAACAATGACACAAACGGAAAACAACAGGAAACATATGGACAGGACTAGGATGTAAAGTGTGCTGAGTTGTTCCTATGTGACACAATCAGTACAGGACAGTATATATTTACGCTTATCATTGTACACTTTAGGTTCATGGAGTCATGAAGTGAAATATGCTTATTTTTCTACCTAATTACTAAGAGAAATCGCAACAAACACTCAATAGTTGTACTCACATAGTCTGTTGGCTCACGATCCACATTTATATATATAGTCTATTACACTCATTACACTCAGTGACAACCAAATTAGTAAACAACATTCATGGGTAAAGGGTCATGGACTACATAACTTTGTATAAGACGGTGGAACTCAGCTATAAAACAACACTAGCATAATGAATATTTGGTACATAAATAAATCTCTATTGGCAATCAACTCTCAACTACAAGAATACCTACAGTACAAGTATCTGAGTATATATATATATATATAGTTGTACCTGAGATTTAACTAGTGTTGATTATATGTAAGACTAAGATTTATGATAGTTTCAGTTCATGTGACTTACTCTATACCAATTAACAGCTCGCGTGCCTTTTTCCAATATCCCGAGCGACCTTGGGTGATGGGAGGAGACAGAGACAGAAGGCTGTGATGTAACGTAAAGTGTGATTGGTTAGAATCAGGTTGTCATGACAAAAGTGACACAATATAGGTTAGTATGATGCCAGAGTTTGACAAGACCTCTCAACCAGTAGAATGATAATAGCCAGGAGTTATAGACCTCCATGTCATTTGGAAGTGATTGTTCAAAATTGTGATAATAGGCAATAATTATAATAATAAAAAAGGCCAATGACACAAACTCTCAGCATATTTTTGTATGAAAAAAGAAACAAAACAAACCAGTGCAAGGCTACCTGTATGGATGTTTTATTTATACATATTTAGAATTCTAACCATAGTGTTTGTAAACATGAATGATGACAGTTAGCTGATAAAAGGTGAGAGCAGATTGAGATAATTAAAACTTTACATTGGTCACCATGGTCAGCTTAAGGCCAGCCGCTTCATAGACTAATCTAGTCTCAGGACAGAGTGGCGAATAGCTGGAAGGTGGTAAGACTTTTTCTTGTTTTTTTTTTATAGTTCTATTAGGAAGTTAAACCTAAGAATGATGAGATACTTATAGGATTGGGGGGTGGGTGGGAGGGGGTTATTACATCAAATTGGTTGACAGGTCTAACATCAATGGCAACAATAATAGACAACAAAACAGACAACAGGTAAGAATGATACATAACAAATCTGGGATTTTACCATCACATATAACAACACCATACATGGTTAGTAGATTTTAGTTAAAAGTTAACAGGTACCATTACTAACTGTAAATAAAACACATAAAATCTTAACGATACAGACTCTTGGCTTCCTGTCAGGACATGTCACTGACTCTTTGATACAGTGCAGTAATTTCTGGATCATCAGATCACACCAATATACTAATATATACCAAATTCTAAAAATCTTAACCCTGGGAGATATTGTGCACAAACTTAACTTTAAACCTCAGAATAGTGTATTAAAAGAGACTTTTCACAAATAAGTATGATTTCAGTTGAAACAGCTCCTTCTGAAGACAGATTATATTTTTCTAAAAGTTATGGATAAATAAGTCCAGTGAAACCTCGCTATTAAGACCACATTGGGGACTGGACAAAAGTGGTCTTAATAGCGAGGTGGTCTTAATAGTGAGGTGGATCAGATTGACTGCAAAGATCCGTATAACAAACAATAGATGGCTATTAAAATGTGTCTGGCATGCAGCTTCACACAAGTTAATCCGATAATGATGTTTACTTTGTGTATCGCCACCTGGTGACAGGTTCGGTAACCCGTGACAAAAACAATGGTCGAGAACGACACACATGCTCGTGGTTCACTGTCCACCAGGTAAACTTTAATCACTGATCAGAAATTGGTTGTAATTTTGAGGTCAATTATCATTAATTAGTGGTCGTTGGGACTGTAGGAAGTGGTCGTAATACGGAATAGCGGGGTGGTCATAATACTGAAGCGACCAATACAAAGATATATAGTGGAAAAAAACGGGACTGAAAAAAAGTGCCCGTAATAGCGAGGTGGTCGTAATTTTGAGGTGGTCGTTAGGTGAGGTTTCACTGTACGTTAACTGATAATTTCTGTCTAGTACCAAAGCTAAACACATGTACCTGGAATCGTTTTTTTTTTCTTAAAAAAAAAAAAAAAAAACCAAATCGGTTTTCAGTGAAGTGGTCATGTTGTGTTCCCTGCAATAACAAACACATGCACTATGAGCAGTCATTAAACCAATCCACATCATTGTTCTGTTGTTAGATTGAGTAGCTATACAGAAACAGGAAACCAACAGCATGCAAACATGCTTACAGCTTTTATACAGATATACACTGATAAAACAGCATACACTGACAAAACAGCATACATTAACAAAACAGCATACACTGCCAAAACAGCATACATTAACAAAACAGCATACACTGACAAAACAGAATACATTAACAAAACAGCATACACTGACAAAACAGCATACACTGACACTGACAAAACAGCATACACTGACAAAACAGCATACACTGACACTGACAAAACAGCATACACTGACAAAACAGCATGCAGAGCATCAACTAAATAGGGAAAACAGAAGGAGTATACACTGATGACAAAACCACATACATATCATTTATTATATACTGATAAAACACTGACAAAACACTATAATCTTGTTCAAGCTCAGCTTAACACTGGTGGCCAGTATGTACTTATTATAATGATATACTTACCTGGACGTAGGTAAACTTCTTCTGTGTTGCTGCAGCTGAGCTGCTGATGTCTGCAAACCAAAACCAATGCTTTATTGAAACTTTGAACAAAACAGAAGTATTCTAATTACATGAAGTTTATAGGGTATTGATACCTACCCCTGTTAACATTTTGCTTTAAGACAATAGAATTGTTGTCAACAATTTGTACAATAAATTAGTTAATACAGTATATCTTATATTTCTCAACATAAGCCCATGCCTAGATCACCAACATCAATGGCTTTCCAGAAGAAATTACAAATAAATGCTATATCATTGTCCTGTAATAAACCTATTACCTGACTTTAAGTGAGAGGTATCCTTAATAAATTGACCCCTGACTTTGAGTCAGAGGTATCCTTAATAAATCCACCCCTGACTTTGAGTCAGAGGTATCCTTAATAAATTCACCCCTGACTTTGAGTCAGAGGTATCCTTAATAAATCCACCCCTGACTTTGAGTCAGAGGTATCCTTAATAAATCCACCCCTGACTTTGAGTCAGAGGTATCCTTAATAAATCCACCCCTGACTTTGAGTCAGAGGTATCCTTAATAAATCCACCCCTGACTTTGAGTCAGAGGTATCCTTAATAAATCCACCCCTGACTTTGAGTCAGAGGTATCCTTAATAAATCCACCCCTGACTTTGAGTCAGAGGTATCCTTAATAAATCCACCCCTGACTTTGAGTCAGAGGTATCCTTAATAAATCCACCCCTGACTTTGAGTCAGAGGTATCCTTAATAAATCCACCCCTGACTTTGAGTCAGAGGTATCCTTAATAAATCCACCCCTGGCTTTGAGTCAGAGGTATCCTGAATAAATCCACCCCTGACTAGAGGTTATGCACTTGACCCCTGGGCTTATTTCAGGATATAAATCCGTATAGCTGTTTAAGCTCCACTCCTCTGTACCAAGCTAGACTCCTCTAACCAGACTCGGCTCCTTTGTACCATACTCTAGACCCCCACCCCCTCTATACCATACTAAGGCTCCTTTGTACTGCACTCTGGATCCCCCCCCCCCTCACTCTATACCAGACAAGACCCCTCTGCACCAAGCTAGACTCCCCTGTACTAAACTAGGCTCCTCTGTACTATACTCTAGACTCCCCCTCTATACCAGTATAGACTCTTTGTACCATACTCTAGACCCCCCCCCCCTCCCCCATCCTCTATACCAGTCGAGACTCCTTTGTACCAGTCTATGACAGCACTGTATCAAATCAGACCCCTTTGTACCAGACTAATGTCCTTCTACCAGACTAGGCTCTCTGTTGACAGTAATAAGAAACAGCCTATTGACATCAAATACAATCTGTCATTTATCTAAAATTACTAAACTGATTTCAGGACAAAGTTAAACATATGACACATTTTCTTGTTAAGATTTTAAAATTTCAAGATCTTTCAAAGGCATGCCTTATGTGCCGCTATCCTCTCTTTTAGAATACTGCCAAAGAAATTTCAACTGAAAAGGACTAAGCTTAGATCACAAATCCTTCGAGTGATAATTCTAAGCCCTTCCATCCAAAATATCTAGCAAGTATCTGAATGAAATATTAAAGTGAGTTTGCTTATGTACCTGGAGACTTTCCCACCAAAAGATCACCAAAGTTTGTGTGGGTTACAATAACATTGTAATAAATACTGTGTAATAAAACACGTCTGTCAAATATACAAATCCTTCCTGATAGGTCAAGTCTATATACAAACACTATTGCCACTGTTATTTGTTATCTACATCCATAGGTAAGTTTGTCCCCATTACCTACATCCATAGGTAGTTTTTGTCCCCATTACCTACATCCATAGGTAGTTTTTGTCCCCATTACCTACATCCGTAGGTAGTTTTTGTTCCCATTACCTACATCCATAGGTAATTTTGTCCCCATTACCTACATCCAGAGGTAAGTTTGTCCCCATTACCTACACCCAGAGGTAGTTTTTGTCCCCATTACCTACATCCATAGGTAATTTTGTCCCCATTACCTACATCCAGAGGTAAGTTTGTCCCCATTACCTACACCCAGAGGTAGTTTTTGTCCCACTACTTACATATAAAGTTAAATTTTTGGCCCTCAATACCTCTATACACAGGTAGGTTTTTGCCCCTGTGACCTTCATTCTGGGAGAAATGACATCAATATTTGGTCAGAGTAGGCCAACCATGAGGTTATTATGATTGCTAATAGGAGTAATTAGCCAGCATCCTGTGTCTGTAAAACTTCCAGGAGATCAATAGAAATTTTACCTGTGCATGCTTGTACACCTGTACTGGTGACAGGGATGTAACGGACTAATGTCACCTGGGGTCTACCTATCAAAATCATACATCATAGATAGACCTTTGAACCTACAAAAAAGATGGTGCATAGTCCTTTGATAAAACCTACCAGTGGACCAGTAATGGTAACAGTATCATAAAGAATTTCCGTTTTGACCTTTAACATTTTCAGGTATTCCATCTTACATACACAGGGGAAAAACAAAAGGAGTTCTGCTGGTGTATATTGTTAGTTATGTTTCTCATGAAATGAACAGGTAGGGACATTCTGAGTTTGGGTCTCCCTGAAGCAGCTAGTGGCTACCTTACTGAACAACATAAGGGAGGCCCTTCCCATGCTGTCCAAATCAATTAGGGTAGAGTATCTTGTCCATGTCACAACCACAACAGAACAGACCATATCTTAGCTTCCATAAAAACACAAACTGCAAAGAGCAGTTAGCAGTTAGTCTCTTCACCTTAGGATACCAAGGTAAACATTCCATTGACTGGGCTATCATGACAGCTTGTTGTAGATCTGAGTTGCAGTAAATATAATTTTCATTCTGACAGTGCATATTTGCTTAGGTGTAAAAGTTCTATTGAAAAAATCTAACACGTCTGGATTCTCAAACAAAGTTCATTAAGTGTTGGAAGAGAAATATACAGTTTACATACAGTGAAGAAAACACCACATAAAGAAGACTTAAAGTCTTGGTGATCTTTCTTGATTTTATGTAACATTGTTAGATATTTCATATTAATTCAGGAATCAAAGCAGGACAGATGCAGCACCTGTTAATCAGATGTTTATTTTGATTAAATAATGTCAGTAAATACAGGCCATGATTAGTGCGGAAAGCATCTGTTTAACACTAACTGGACATTATTCCTTATATCAGTGAAGATGGACTGTCGTTGATGTGGTTAATACTAACTGGACATTATTCCTTATATCAGGGAAGATGGACTGTGGTCAGTGTGGTAAGCACAAACCAGACATTCTTCATAAAATCTGTGATGATAGACTGTCATTAATGTGGAAAATATTCCTATTATTCCCAATATCTATTTTACTATTTGTATATACTTATACAATAAAAACCAAGAGGCCCATGGGCCTTAGCGGTCATCTGGCATAAAAAACAAGATTTCAAATTTTGAACTTCAGAAGAAGTCGAAAAAATGTGTTTTCAAGATGGCAGCCATGTTGGATTTCGGACCAACCCGAAATTAACAAACTTTGGTCAGGATGATGTCACGATCATTTCAGGTAAGTTTTAGCTCAATGAGACATGTAGAACTTGAGAAGAAGTCGAAAATGTTTACGACAGATGCCGCACAAAAGGCGATCGCAATAGGTCGAAGGGTCAGATGACCTAAAAAACTAGTGAATTAATTATCTTAGTAATCAACTATCGATTTGTTCTTGCACTTTTGTAATCAGTCAGTTTCTTACTAATGAAGAAAATGATATCATCAAAATAAAAACAACACCAAAGCGACATATAACAAGGACACAATATAGAAAATTTTTGAAACAAAGAAAAGAAGAAAAATCAAAATCATTCAAAATGTTCAGTGCAAAAGTTTTAGAGGCTGTGCAGCTGTAAAATAGAATGATAAACCTAGGATTTAGGTGAAATACTAGGTAATAATTGTTTTATCATGCTAAAAGCAAGTCAGAATAGGATCACAGGTATTCTCTTATCAGTATAAAGTTTAAACCAAGTTAGTTCTACAGGTAAACACTTAACCTCAGACTCAAGGTAGAGATGGGCTTATTACTGGACAACGATAAAAACATTTGTCAAATGAATCTTCCTCTAGTTAACTGTAAAAGATTAAGGAGGGGTTATGACCAGGAACAGGTTTACAAAGACAGAGATATTAATGCTTGGTTAATCCTGAAACCTTTTTACATAATAAAGACCATATTTGTCTGTTTTTTAAGGCGACACCTGTGATCCTACCTGAGAACTAAACCAACAGAACTAAAGCGTACCTCTGGAACAGATTCAGTATCAGGGATAGAGAACAGAGATGGGTGTGGCTGAGGAGTAACCGTAGACAGAGGCGCAGATGTTACCTGACTACGACCAGCAGGCCCAGAAGATGAACGCTTTTCCTTAAAGGAATGACTTTGGCGTAAACCTGCAACCGAGGCTGAAACATAGAAAGCACAGGGTTATAAGAATGATATATAAATGTACAATATACAAATATTCAATCTGCAATCAATGGCAAGAATCAAAGGCAGAGAGTCTGTCAGAAATGTGTTTACAACTGTATGGCGGGGCACCTATAGTATGTATATGTACCAGGGTAGCTACTTGTATGGATTATAATGTAAGGTGTGACATACAAGTAGACCATACCAGCAAATTTTGTGGATTAAGGGCACTTATCATTTGTAGACATAACAGTAAATTGTACTTTTCGTTACAAATTTAGAATTAGTGTACTGACAAATTATAAACTGAACTGTATTCCATCGCTGTGTCTTCCTCTCCAGACTCTTCAGTAATGTTCAGGGCTCATTAAACACTAAACACTAGGGCTCAATGATCCTTGTTCAGCCTCTGTATTTCTGTTGACCAGTATACTGTTTAGTGTACATTTTAGTACATTACCATATCAAACACAGTGACCGTTTAGATCATTCTATAAGCGGATAGGTTTATTGAAAGTAGATTTTTTTTACTTTATCAATATACCAGAACTATATCAAACATAAGCAGCTTACATATTTGGTCCACCTATATATTCTGATACACATAGTGGACTTAAAACGTTAAGTCACGCCTGTTAGTGGTGAAAATCCCTCAGTAACAAGAATCTGGATGTTGGGTCAGTCACATCTGCCAGGAATGAGGATCTAGGTGTTGAGTCAGTCACCTCCATCTGTCAGTGACGAGGATTTGGGTATCTGGTCAGTCACATCTGTCAGTGACGAGGACTTGGTTATCTAGTCAGTCACATCTGTCAGTGACGAGGATTTGGGTATCTGGTCAGTCACATCTGTCAGTGACGAGGACTTGGGTATCTGGTCAGTCACGTCTGTCAGTGACGAGGATTTGGGTATCTGGTCAGTCACGTCTGTCAGTGACAAGAACATGGGTATTGGGTCAGTCACATCTGTCAGTGACAAGGATATGGGTATCAGGTCAGTCATGTCTGTCTGTGACAAGGACTTTGGTATCAAGTCAGTCACGTCTATTGGTGTGAATGGCCTGCGGGTATCAGGTCAGTCACATCTGTCAGTAATGAGGATCTGAGTGTTGAATAAGTCACATCCATCAGTGAAGAGGATCTGGGTCAGTGACAAGGATCTGGGTGTCTGGTCAGTCATGTCCATCAGTGACAAGAATTTGTCAAATCTGTAAGTGACAAGGACTTCGGCATCAAGTCAGTCACATCTGTCAGTAATGAGGATCTGGGTGTTTGGTCAGTCACATCCATCAGTGACAAGGACCTGAGTATAGAATCAGTCATGTATGGGAACTGATAATCCACCAATCATCAGATCTCATTAGTCAACTTTGTAGAGGTATCAGAAAAACACTGCATTATTTTGTAAATCTTCAGACAGGCAAACGCTTCCTATAAATTATTGACTGTTTCTTTACCTATCAATGTGATCCTTGCTTTTACTGGCTGAAAGTGAATGTTCATTTGACTTATAGGTACTGTCCAGCCATTGAACTGTTACTAATACAACATGGCCAAGGAAAACCATTCTATTACAAGCTTGTGACAATAGTATTAAACTTAAGGAATTCTGCTTGATATCAGTGTTCAATGGTAGTCCTGGTGGAATGTCCTACTGTTCTCATATACCTCTGACCATGGTATTATCCTTAACAACATATTTCACTCTCCAAATCTTTAAACCAGATTTTTGTGTTAAATGTTCTGTATTGTCAGATTGTAAAGCCATTTCCTCCTTTAACAGTACTTAGTGTTATTGTATAGCATCATAACAGTGACTTTTGACATTTTAACTCCAGCTAGGGTGGTCTCCTTAAGCAGTTTTCAGGTGATTGTGCTGGAGAAATCTTTCCAACAGAAATCAAATCACACAAACACAAGTCAGCCATTGTATTGGTGAACCAATAACTTAACCATGTGTACTTGGTAAAAGCCAATGTGTTACAAATTCATATTTCATTTCAACTTCTAAAATAAGTTCTTATCCAAAGTGATATCTTTAAAGCAACATCTTAAACTACAGATTAGGTTACTATAGTCAAACAAGTAGCTGTCCTTGTCAGTTCTTTACAGGCACTTACAACAAAACAAGATTGAGAATAAACCATCAACATACCTGGGACCTTTCTAGTCTGCCACCATCCATGTTATGATTGATGTAAAGGACAGAGAGGGAATGTTATACCTCAGTTAAATTAAATATTCTTTTGTGTAGATCACTTAACCTTGATAGCATGTTTATCACAAATACTACCTGATCAAATCTGACAGATGAACACTGACCAGATGACCAGGACACATGCCCAACAGCAACTGTCTGGACAGAGTAAAACTTCTATCTACTGTTACCCATATTGAACTGTTATTACCTGTATTTACCTGTGATTACAGTTAGCTGTGTTGTACTGTTTTACTTGTATCTATTATCGTATATTTTACCTGTAATTTCTATTACCTGTAATAATTGCTGTTACCTGTATTTACTTTTTTCTATATTTTTTTTCTGTAATCACCTAACTACATAATGGTTACATAGGGCTTGTAAAATTAACTCCAAAATCAAATGAAAGTTACAGAGGCTTGTAAACACCCCCTTCTGAAAGTTAACTTGTCATGTACACTATTAATCCACATATCATCAACTCCTTTCTGATGTAATGCATGTCTCCAAGAGAATATCAATGACCATCGGTCAGCCCTTAACTGGCTATATGGATAATCATCTAGAGTTTCCACCGGTCAAGTTGTAGGCCAGGTGGTCTAGCTTTAGTTTCCAGCCAAAATCAATATTACAGAAATACTGCTGATCACTTGACTGGTCAGTGGTCATCATTTTGTCATTTTAATGACCTTCTGACCAGGAATTATGGATCACATCAGGTATGAAGGTCCTTGTGACCTATTGGCAAATAAAATTACACAGCTGACTGATTTCCTCAAGATTTAGTCCAGTTTTAATCATGCCAAACCTTCAGTTTGAAAATCTCATAATAGAGATATAATAAAGACATAGCTAAAATCTTTGTAACCACACATATATAAATATCAATAGTTATAGGTGCTTGGCATCCTCTTGTCTAAGTTTGCCATTGTTCTGTCAAGGTGACAATGCACATTACATGGTTTCTATACACATTGTACTGCTATAGGACTCTGTAGTACTTGTAACCCAATAAATCTGTTAATTTGTACTGTACAAACCACAGTTATCACACACTACTTAATTATAGCTTAGCACCATCTCTCCATTAACCACTTCTCACTGCCTTTCAAGAACCTTACAGCGAGGCCAGGAGGCAGCTGACCACTCTCACAGGCCAGCCATCCTACATGGATTTCCAGGTGACAGCACCTCCACAGCTAATCGCCATGGTAAACCACGCTTCACTGGTACAAATAGTAAAATAAAGGTTTTATATGTCTGTTGATATTTTTTTGATCAAATTTGATTTTCCTCAGTTACATTTCAAAATTTAGGCCACATACCGGATGAGCCCTAGGACAAGGAGCTGTATGATAAAGTTTAATTCCTTATTTGGTGCTAATGTATCTTGCATTGAATGGTACTATTTATCTGAATGTCTTTTGTATAATCTTTCTGGGTACTGTTTGCTTGTTGGGCTGTATAAACATCCAAGTTTGCTTGATTTTCCCAGATGTAGGTCAGCCTCCCACACAATGATAACCAAATCTGTTACAGAGTTTACTCATTGTTGACTAAACCAGAGGGAACTAGTTGTGTGCATGTGCTGTGTAGTTGTACAGAATTGTGGACGGGGAATCCCCATATGAATCGTGTTTGCTTTCCTTTGTCATATAATCTTAACTTTCTTGTTTGGAAATCCAATTACATCTACAGTGAATGCCTTTTATATTCTGTACTATCAACTACAACAATACTTACAGCTAAAGCTGTTGTCAACATTACACCGGTGGAGATTGGGTCCTATACATGTAGGTAAAGCATTATATAGGGTACTAGGTACTTAACTTTTGTGCTGGAATTCCAAAAATGTCACTTGATTCCCATGAGGCCAATCAGCTTGATCTTGTATTTACAGACTTTTAAAAATCAAAGTCTGGTGAGGGCTGATGGGTGGATTGTTAATGGTAGATCAGGGTCTTTGTTACCTGTAACTTATCTTGGTGACCTTCACAAATACCTGATCACCTATTGACTAATTTCCTTTTCAGCACACACAATAACAACTTACACCATCAATGTTCCGTGATAAGGGTTTAAAAATGTTAGCATATTTCTGTAGGCCTAGTGAGCCAGACATTTCAACACCGTCAAACCCCTCAAGGTTTTTTTCCCAAAACAACATTAAAAAGTTCAATTGAATTCTTACGTGAAAGACAATCAATTTATGAAGTTTATATGTAGCATTTTCTCGACTAGATCTGTATGCAGTCCTTGGAAATAAAACTGCCATGTTTATATCTCTATATGTAGAAAGGTAGCCATAGAAAAAGCAACCAAATGAGTAAAAACGACTAACATTTAATTTCAAGAGAAAGTACTTTACTGAAGTGACAAGCATTACCAACTTCCTATAATTTATTTGATAATAAATGTTAGCTACATGGCCGTCACACAATGCACAAATTTTTTGTTCACCTGTTATTTGGATATTTTGCTTTATGTTCGATATCGTTTATGAAATGGTATTTTAATCACCTATACTTAAGAAATATGACTATAGAGCTGGTCTGGGAGGAAATGTAATAAAGTGTTAAATCATCCACAGCTACACAGTGAAGTCATTACAGTCCTGCAACACAGGGCCAGCTTGTTCGGGCCCTGCAGGTTTCACCGAACAGGTGTAGTCTGCACATTTATATATATTGTAAATTAAACTCAGATTGGCATTTTCTCTAAATTGATAGAATTTCCTAAAACTTCAGGGTAGGACAGAGAATATCTACCCTAGAAGAATATCCTTGACTGGTTA